CATTCATTGTTTATACTTTTTTTTATAAGTATATAATAATATAAGTTGAATATTTATTTAATTATTGTTTAATTCGTGTCGCCATCTGTTATTTAATAATCAAAATAAAAATCGTATTATAAAAATTTAAGGTAGATTTATATTTACTCTAAAATTATCTGAAGAATTATTCCTACGTCTAGTGTGTTCCTACTTATACAGCAGAGATGCCCAAAATTCGTAAGTAGGAGGGTTACAAATATTTTTGTATATTCCATACATACAAAAGTTAAGCGTATTTTTACCATCTGTAAGTGATGTATCAAATATATTTGTGGGCCGAATTAACTTGTGGGATACCACAAATTTAGAGTATTAAAATCGCTAGATAAAAGTCGGATCATAGAATAACATGGTTTCTATATTACTGTAAAGCGATTAGAATTTCCGATGGTAGAACGAGACACTACTTCTTGGAACTCGATGTTTGTTTGTTTAGTTAAGTTACGGCAATGCGACACTTGGGCGATCTGCCTAGGGAGAATGCCTTCCGGGAGGTGTTTTTAAGGGTAACTGGCCTCTATTTAGGCGTTACTAGCCCGTCCTGGGAGGCGCGAACCCGCGACCGAAGTTTCAGGGTTCAGAGAACGAAACTGCTTGGTCACTGGTGGTACTTGGTTTTCGAATTGTGGAAGAATAAGTCCGAGGAATACCTAGAAAAGGAGAACTCTGGATAACTTTTTAGAATTGAATGCTTCTAAACTTTTACATTCGAATACACACCATTTTTGGCTGAAATCGCTTTGGATTAGTTAAAACCGAGTATTGAAATATTTCTTATGTAATAATAGTGATTATACTATAAAATCGAACGTAAATGAAGTGGCATTTGTCTTACGTAAGCCTAGTTTAAAGTGGGAAAGAATACTAAAACCTGTTTTAAACGGAAACGTACAAAAACGGGAACAAAATTTCATATTGTGCGATTTCGATTAACATAGGTTTTACTGTATATTGATTGTTAAGATTTTCAATCAATTGATCTTAGTTGTTATCTGTTTAGTTTAGCTGGTTCATTAATTGTTATAGATAAAATGAAAAAATAATCTTTATATATAAAAAAACTATTTAAATTGTTTAACAATCTTTAATCTTGCAAATTTTGTTTCTGTTTCTACTATCGTTTATCTGATTTAATTTTTATAACAATTTAAGAATTTATTTGTAGATGACATTCCTGTTACTGAAACTTCTTTTTAAAGTGAAAATAAATTAGTACTATAACATTTTGAATAAATATTTAATAAAAATTTATAATTTTTGTTCTAGAATTTTACATGATAAACTTGGATTTGTAGATCAAAATAAAGAAAACAAAATTTTTCATTTAGTACTTTAAAATACAAAATGTGAAAAACATTGTCCTGTGTTATTAAACGTTGTTATTTCATGTGCATAAAATTCAATTAGACTATTGTAGAACATACGACCCTCTACACGAACTTAGCTGTTTTCTCCGACAGATTGATTTCATATTCTTAATCCTTTTCATTACAATATCACATAATTCGTTGCTGTAACTTCTTTGCTTCACTAATGTTAAAATAATATTCAAGATGGTACACGTATGATTCATTAGTGTAACTTTCATTAGATTCTGAACTGTAATATTCATATGAAGTATTACCATAATAGTCATAATATTCATAACTACCACTTTCTTCGATTACTTTATTATTTATCTTTTCTATATCCTACATAAAAATTTAAAACGAAATTAATATATCTTATAAAGTGTAATTTAAAAAATACTTAGATACATGTAAAAATGAAAACGAATTAAAAATTGTAAAGTAAATTTTATTAAAGATTCAGTATGGTCTGATTTTATGCGAGGTCGCGTAAGACGAAATTCTGTATAAATTTCTGCTTCACTCAAAAATATCAGATAATTCCATAGAGCAGTGTTTCCCAAACTTGTCGAACTAAAGCCTTGTTTTAGAGCATACATTTCTTATATACAGGTATACCTCGCCTTACGTCGGTAATTGGTTCCAGGAAAACGACGTAAGTCGAAAAACGACGTAAGTCAAATTTACCTGTCTCCGAATCTACTTATCACTAGGAAAGCATTTTAAATAATATATGGTTAATAAAAATCTATTTTAAGCTTACAAACAAATAAATTTTAGTTTTTAATATAGTACAAAAAAAGTAATCTAAATTTACGAATGCGTGTACTGTAAATACAGTACATACTTGTATATATTTTAATATGATTTTATGTGCTTTAAACGTTTATCTAGTGATATTACGACTTCAATATTTGTGGCGGACAGACGTAAAGTCGAATAAAATGACTTAAACTTGATTTTTATTTTTCCATATAC